AATGGGACACCACGGGACACCACGGAACACTTGTCGATTCCATTATCGATCTCACTATCGGTCTCACACCACGGGACACCACGGGACTCCGTGGGACACCTCTCCATCTCTTTATCTGTCTCACTATTGAGCTCATTATTGATCTCGCTCAGCGGGACACCACGGGACACCTCGGGGCACCACATCGTTTTCAGTATCGGTCTCATTATGAATTTTTCTATCGATCTCACTGAACGGGATACCACGGGACACCACGGGACACCACGGTACACCTGTCGATCTTATTGTCAATCTCATTATCGATCTCACTCTTTGGGACACCGCGGGACACCACGGGACACCACGGAACACTTGTCGATTTCACTATCGATCTCACTATCGGTCTCACTCAACGGGACACCTCGGGACACCACGGGACACCACGGGACACCACGGGACACCACGAGACATTTGTCGATCTCATTATCGATTTCACTATCGATCTCACCCCACGGGAGACCACGGGACACCTCGGAGCACCACATCGCTTTCAGTATCGATTACACTATCGATCTTACTATCGATCTCACTCAACGGGATACCACGAGACACCACGGGACACCACGGTACACCTGTCGATCTCACTATCAATCTCACTATCGTTCTCATTTGTTTGGACACCGCGGGACACCACGGGACACCTCGGGGCACCACATCGATCTCAGTATTTCAGTATCGATTTCACTATCGATCTCACCCAACGGGACACCACGAGACACCTGTCGATCTCATTATCGATTTCACTATCGATCTCATTTTTTTGGACACCACGGGACACCTCGGGGCACCACATCGATATCAGTATCGATCTCACTATCATCTCACTATCGATCTCATTCAACGGGACGCCACGGGACACCACGAGACACCTGTCGATCTCATTATCGATTTCACTATCGATCTCATTTTTCAGACACCTCGGGGCACCACATCGATCTCAGTATCGATCTCAGTATCGATCTCACTATCGATCTCACTATCGATCTCACAATCGATCTCAGTGTCGATCTCACTCAACGGGACACCACGGGACACAACGGGACACCACGGGACACCACGGGGCACCGCGAGCCACCGCCGGACGGACGGACGGACGGGCGGGCTTGGGATAATCATTTGACTTCGCCCTAGCAACGGCGGACACCACAGGACACCATGGAGAATCACGGGACACCGCGGGACACTGCGGGCCACCGCCGGACGGGCGGGAGGGGGATAATCATTTGTCTCGACTTCGCCCTAGCAACGGCGGACACCACGGGACACCACGGGACACCGCGGGACACCGCGGGCCACCGCCGGACGGGCGGGAGGGGGATAATCATTTGTCTTGTGTTCGCCCTCGCAACGACGGACATCACGTGACACGACGAGACACCGCGGGACATTGCGGGCCACCGCCAGACGGGCGGGAGGGGGAGAGTCATTTGTCTCGACTTCGCCCTAGCAACGGCGGGTTCATTCTTCTCGCGCGCCCGCGCAGCTTCGCCTCGCCCGCCCGCACGACACGAACGAGACGAAACGATTTCCCGGTTGGGGGTCTCCGTTGCATTGCGATCTCACCCCCCAATTTCCAACTACTGAACTGAAGAAGGAGAAGACTACTACTGGTACTGCTACCAGTGCTACTTCTACTTCTACTTCTGCATTTACTTCTACTTCTACTCCTGTCCCACTTGTTTTCACACGGCTACTACTACTACTACTACTACTACTACTACTACTACTACTACTACTACTACTCCTACTCCTACTACTACTACTACTACTACTCCGACTACTACTACTACGACGACTACTACTACTCCTACTGCTACTACTGATACTACTGCGACGACTACATCTACTACTACTATTTCTTCTTCTACTACTACTACTATTACAACTACTTCTACTTCTACTCTTACTACTACTACTACTACTACTACTACTACTACTACTACTACTACTACTACTAGTACCACAACTACTGCTACTACTACTACTACTAACTACTACTACTACAACAACAACAACTACTACTACTACTACTACTACTACTAACTACTAACTACTACTACTACTACTACTACTACTACTAACTACTACTACTACTACTACTACTACTACTACTACTACTACTACTACTACTACTACTACTACTACTACTACTACTACTACTACTACTAACTACTAACTACTAACTACTAACTGCTAACTACTAACTACTAACTACTTACTGCAAGCTTCTAACTACTAACTACTAGCTACTAACTACAAACTACTAGCTACTAACTGCTACTACTAACTACTACTACTACTACTACTACTACTACTACTAGTACTAGTATTAGTACTACTACTATTCTTATTACTACTATTATTTCTTCGACGACTACTACTACTACTACTAAAACTACGACTAGGACTACGACTACGCCTACTATTACTATTACTATTACTAATACTAATACTAATACTAATACTATTACTATTACTATTATTATTACTATTACTATTACTATTACTAGTACTATTAATATTACTATTATTATTACTATTACTAGTACTAGTAATATTACTATTGCTAGTACTAGTACTAGTACTCGTACTAGTACTATTCCTATTACTATCACTATTAATATTACTATTACTATTACTACTACTATTACTATTACTCGTACCAGTACTGGTACTAGTACTAGTACTATTACTCCCACTATTACTAGTACTATTACTGTTACTGTTACTGTTATTATTACTATTACTATTACTATTACTATTACTATTCCTATTACTATTCCTATTACTATTACTATTACTATTACTATTACTATTACTATTACTATTACTATTACTATTACTATTACTATTACTATTACTATTACTATTACTAATACTATTACTATTACTATTACTATTACTATTACTATTACTATTACTATTACTATTACTATTACTATTACTATTACTATTACTATTACTATTACTATTACTATTACGGTTACGATTACGATTACGATTACGATTACGATTACGATTGCTATTACTATTACTATTACTATTACTATTACGATTACTATTACTATTTCTATCCCTATTCCTATTCCTATTCCTATTCCTATTCCTATTACTATTACTATTACTATTACTATTACGATTACGATTACGATTACGATTACGATTACGATTACTATTACTATTACTATTACTATTACTATTACTATTACTATTACTATTACTATTACTATTACTATTACTATTACCATTGCTATTGCTATTGCTATTACTATTACTATTTCCATTACCATTACCATTACCATTACCATTACCATTACCATTACCATTGCCATTACCATTACTATTATCATTACTATTACTATTACTACTACCACTACTACTACCACCGCCACGACCTACTACCACCACTACTACTACTTCTTCTTCTTCTACTACTGCTATGACTGATAATCTAACACTGCGAAGCCTACGAGGCGGAGGAGGGGGATGAGGAGGAGGACTACTAATAAGACGAATATTGCAACCAATCATCGTACAAAGACTACTACGAAGCATACTGGTGATAAGAAGACACATGATAATGCTACACAGAAGAGGAGGAGGCTAAGGAGAATGAGGAGGAGGAGGTGGATGAGGAAGAGGAGGATGAAACTGCGGAACAGGAGGAGGAGAAGGCGGAGGAGGAAGAGGGGAGGAGCAGGGGGAGGAGGCGAAGGAGGAGGAGGAGGAGGAGGGAGAGGGGAGGAGGAGGGGGAGGATGACGAGGAGGAGGAGGAGGAGGAAATGGGGGAGGAGGAGGAGGAGGAGGATGAGGAAGAGGAGGAGGAGGAGGAGGAGGAGGAGGAGAATAATGATGAGGAGGAGGAGGAGGACGAGGAGCAGGATGAGAAGGGGGAGCGAGAGGAGGGGGCCGCTGAGCACGCGAGGGTCGGGGAGCGGGCAGGGCCAAGAGGGGGGGGGTAGGAGAAGAGGGCAGGGCGGGGCAGGGAGCAGCAGGGCGGCACGGGTAGGAGGGTGAGGAGGAGGAGGAGAACGAGG